GCCAAGCTGGGGTCTGGGGGTTCCACCAAGAGCTGTCCCATTGCCCAGGGGACACGCTGCGCCAAGACCGCCTTACTACGTCAAACTAGGTAGACAGAGGTGGGCAGTTGGGGAGCGGTACCTTAGGGACAGACTTGGAAGCAAAGTCTGCCGTTGGTTCTGTAGTCCGACCTGATCGTGGAGTCTCTGACCACAGCCAAGCCTCTTCCCCAATGGGTTTGTGGCATCAGAGATTTTTTAAGGGTCATCTCCTCATTTCTTTTACGCAGCAAAAGGATCCCCCTCCTGCCAAGGCCTGCTCCTGATCCCCGGGCGTCTCCATCCTCTGTCTCTCCTTGCCTACCGCAGAAACACCTCACAGCTGGGAGCTTGGATCACGCAGAGGGACAGGGACAGGGTCCACATCAGTGATCTCTACTAGAATATCTCACTGTTGGAAAAGCCCGGTCGCTGCTGACCGCTGCCTGGACAGCGAGGGCTGGGCGGATCCGCCCTCCACGGGCAGCCGTGGTGAGACGGCGCCTGTGCCAGGCTGCTCGCGTGTGAGTGCGGGCGGGGGCTAGTAAGCGCACGTGTCCCTCCCCCTCTGCATTGGGGCTCTCGGCCTCTCAGCAGACCGGCCGCCGTCCCCACCCCTTTCCTCCTCCTGGGGAAAGGCCTCGGGACTTCCAGGAGGCCCGGAGAGCGGAGGGAGGCCCGGAGATGGGGTTTCTGTGGCTTGTCCAAGCAGGGTCTCGAGGGAGGGGCACAGGGCAGCTTGGCCTCTTGGACGTCAGGGGCGTTTTCACTGAGGTTTAACGCACATGCCGCAGACTCCGTCCTTGTTTTCGGTGGTTTTAGTACGTTCACACAGCTGTGCAACCGTCACCACAGTGCGTTTCAGGACATTCTTATCACCTCAGAAAGAAACCTCACACCCTTAGCCGTCACCCCCAGTGCCCACAGCCCTCGTCTGCTTTTCTTCTCTAGGGATTTGCCTGTCCTGGACATTTCGTGTGGATGGAATTGTATAACACGTGGCCGTTTGTGGTTGGCTGCTGTCACTGATCGTCGTGTTTTCCAGGTTCATACCATGCACGCAGCAGCACTTATTCCTGTCTTGGCTGAGTGGCGTCCGGGTGTGGACAGACCACATTTCGTTTGTGGCCATCACCAGTTGGGCATTTGCGCCGTTTCCCCTTCTTGGCTGCTGTGAGTGGTGCGGGCAGCAAGGAAAGAGATGGAAACAGAGTAGAGCAAGCTTGCTTTGCGGGCCTGACTGCCCTGGAGTCTCAGGCGGTGGAGCGCGCTTTCCCTGCCTAGTCGGCAGGCTCCCCGCCTCGCAGGGGAGGTGGCAGGGAGGCGGGCTGTGTGCAGGGCAGCTGTAGGCAGTGACCAGGGCACTTCCACAGGCGTCCCGTGGACGCCCCTGCAGCCGGTCCCATGGGAGACGACAGGGCAAGAACATTCAAGATACGTTTAAAAAAAACCTCCCCCTGAAAATGGTTAAAACATGAACTTGAGGAATGTGCTCGGTTACTTGGAAGGTTGGTTTTGGTGGAAGGACGCACGGCCCCCACGGACACAGAGGAAACGGGTGGCCCTGTGCGTTTCCTGGCAAGGCCCCCGTGCTGGTGTGACCAAGTGCAGGGGCAGCCCCTCCTGCTTGGTGTTTCTGCTTCTGCTGAACCACGCCTGGCAAGGCTTGGCGTGCAAGTGTAGGTGACAGGCGGCAGGCCTCAGGTGCGTGGGCTGGAAGCCCGAGGAGGCCGTGGCCTTGAAGAGCCGTGTTGTCTGCCCAGGGTTCTGAGCAGAACCGAGGAACTCCTGGAACCAGAAAGTACCAGAAATCCCATGCAGGATCTCAAGTCCTAGTGAGTGCTTGGCTACCCCTTGGAAACATCTTTCTAAAGTTAACAGATCATAAGTGATCAGAAAAATGGATAGCATTGGAGTGTCTGCTATCCAGAAATGTGTCATGCCATGTCACGTCACATTAGCTTTTACTTCGGAAAAGTACGTGCACATCTCAAAAATTAAGGTGTTCGGAGTTTTAAAATTTGGCCCATTTCCTCTCACTGAGGAAATTTGTAACACTCAACACCTGCGGTGTACATGTAACATGATGGGATTTTATAAAACCGTAATCGGCATTAAGACTGCTGGCTTCACGGAGGAGAGTCGGTTAAAGACTCCAATTGTGGTATGTAAGTTAAGTAAAATGCTCTCCTTGTTCTGATTTAAATTTTCAAAGACAAAATTTAAGCCCTTAACACTTTGAACTTTAAGAAGGCAGTTTTTAGTGTTGGGAAACACCGGGATCTCGTCCTTGTTTGGAGGAAGTCCACTGTGCTGGGGTCTGGGAGGAAACACTCAGGTCTGCCCTGCAGCCCCTCCCACCCCCACTCTCCCGTCATCTCAGGGCCTCCCTGCCTGCGGCCAGCTCTGCCTCTGGGGGGCCTCGAGTCCCTCTGGCTGTGTCTCTGTGGCATGCTCGCCGCTGCGCTTCCTGAAAGGTGGATGTCACAGAGGTTCAGGCCTGTGGCTTTAGGGAGCTCCAGTGGAGCTTCTGCCTCCACCTGCAGGATCTCCCAGGGCTTCCTTTGCCCCCACCCCCATCTCCTGGTGGCCGCAGAATCACTGCACCCTGGACTCCAGACTCGAGCATTTCTGCATGCAGTACAGGCCCTGGGCTGAGGAACAGGCTGGAAGTTCTTGTTCCCTTCCTAGAGGCATTAGCAACCCCAGGCAGGTCTGCCTGCCTTACTCCACCCTGCCAGAGCTTCCAGAATAATCTCCCACTGGCACGGGTCCCATCACGTATCTCCACTGCGCAAAGAACAGCCTTAGCCTTCCCTGTTGCTGCCACCTCGGGCCCCAGCTGCCCGCCGAGCAGCCTTGCGCCCTGTGCCTGTCCCCAGTCAACACGGCACTGCACGGGCCTCCGTGCTCTCCCTGGGCCACCAGCTCACGGCCCCCTAAGGCGTCTCTCTCTACTGCTTCCCTGTCGATTGTCCTCTCCGGCTCCTCTAGCTTGGGGTGCGGGCAAATGCAAGGTCACACCTTCGGACACGGCTCCCGAGGGGCTGCCTCGTGCCAGACACAGATTGGGTCAGGTAGGCCCCAGGCAGGGCCACGGGTGCCAGGTTTGTGAACACTTCTGAGAAGGCTGGCAGAGACACCGACGTATTGCAAAACTTCAGCAGCAGGAGATAAAGTCCTTTTTGAGATTGCTTTGTTTGTGGTTCCCCTCCTGCCTCTGATAAGGAAACCCTGGAGGGACTTATCAGTTAGACCCTCCCCTTTGGAAGGGCGAGGGGGAAATGGTGGGAAACGGTGTTGACAGTAACGCCCTGCCTACTGGGGCCAGTGCCCTTGTGTGCGGACACACCTCGCCTCTGGCGGGTTCTGCAGTAAGCTGGGAAACAGGCAGTTCAGCAATTTATGAAAAGGATAAGGTATTTATTTTTTGTTTAATACATATATTTTTTGTGGAAAATAAAACTTACGGTCCTACCCAATTAATAGTTATTTTTCATATGCTTTAAGTGGTAGCTATAGCATTATAAGTTATTCGATGACCTATAAAAGCTAGGATGAATTCTTGACTTTTCCTTCTCTCCAACTAAAATCCATTCTCACTGTACCGTAGGGGGCAGTGCCCAAAGGGAACGCGACGAAGGAGTACATGGAGAGCCTGCAGCTGAAGCCGGGGGAGGTGATCTACAAGTGTCCCAAGTGCTGCTGCATCAAGCCCGAGCGCGCCCACCACTGCAGGTACCGCGGCCCCGTCCAGGCAGTGTCGAATGGCCGGAGGGTGTCATTCTCCTTCCCGGGTAGAGAGCTGAGGCCAAGGGCCAGTGCCAGCTGAGTGCCCCGGAGTCTTGCCCAGAGTTGGGAAACAGGACAGAATTTGGGATCCCTTCCTACCCGCGGAGGCTCGTAGGTGATAGCCAGAGGAAGTGACGGGGCACCTGCTTCTGTTTCCGTGGCCTGGCTGCCACAGGCCGGCACATGTGTGCTCAGCATCTCTTGGGCACAGCTAGGAGGATGGCTTAGAACCTTCCCCTCACTCCTGCTCCTGGTTCCTTCCAGCCCGATAAACAGCGGGGTTGTTGTGTGTTAGCCTTTGTCCTTACCAGGTGTGGTGTTGCAGTGTAGACGCTAGCTTCTTTTGGACATGCTCCCAGACACCAGTTAGACTACGTTTTTTAAAAAATAGAATAATTATTCATATATCCTTTGACTATCTGGCTCATTTATTAATAGAATTTCAGGCTCTCACACTCCCCCGCTGGTCTTTTGTCCACTCCCCCAGCTCTGCTAACTCCTGACTTTCAGACTGTGTGTTTGCTCCTGGGCTGGGCGCGCAGCTCACGCCTGGGATCCTAGCCCTCTGGGAGGCCGAGGCAGGAGGATCGCTCGAGCTTAGGAGTTGGAGACCAGTGTGTTTGCTTATAGGTGTCGAACTTGGACAGTCTGGGTATATGTCTCCACTCCTTGAATGGTTGTCACCCATCTCTGCACTGTCAAATTGATAGGGCATGGTTGTGCCTAGACAGTGCCTTTTTCCTGCGGAGTTGCGCTGTGATATGCAACTTACTTAATACACAGACACACTTGCCAAGACACATGAATGAGGATGAGCTGGAGACAGACTCCAACAGGAAGAAGCAGCTGTCGAGGGGGCTCTGAGTACTTTATGACTATCGTGAAAGAATTAAAAGGTTCATATCCCCACAATCTTGCCAGAAAGTAAAAAAAGCAGGAAATGGTATAGGATAGCAGATTGGCGGTTGTCTTGGGCCAGGGGAGTGACTACTGCCTGTGGGCATAAGGTTTCTTTGTGGACGATGGAATGTTCTACAATTAGATGGTGATGGTCTCTCAACTCTACAATTATAATAAAAATCATTGAGCAGGCTACTAAATGGTGACGGACACTATTTATGGTACGTAAATTATAACTCTCAGTAGATCCCTGTCTAAATATAATGACTGAATGCTTAGGAAGTTGAGTGCCAGCAGAATCAGGCAGAGAAACTGAGTCAGGGACAGAAGGTGAGATACTATTATAGAATGTCTTACCTGGAGTGGAAGAAATTGCACCGCCAGGCATGTTCGTGATGTAATTAAATGGTGCAAGCTATCTTCTTAAAAGACATAATTGACGGCAATTGGTATTTAAATCTAGACGCCGCAAGCGTCGTGTCTCAATCTGTAATCCCAGTACTGTGGGAGGCCAAGGTGGAGGATCATTGAAGCTCAGTTTGAGACAGGTTAGTAAGATCAAGCTCCTACAAACAGAAAAATTAACTCGGGCGGTGGTAGTGCAACCCTGTAGTCCATGCTACACAGAATGGTTGGACAATGCCAGATCGCTGGGCCAGGATTCTGAGCTCTGCAGTGAGCTATAAATGAGGCAACGCCTCGACCATCGGGTGACCGCAGTCGCAGCAACTCGTCCCACACAAAAAAGTTGGACTATGCTGGATGATGTCTGCGCTCCTCACTCTCAAACATGATTTTACTGGCGCGGAGATGTATATTGACTAAAACTTCCGCTGACTTGAGACAGCAGTCATCTTGAACTCAGATTTCTTTATTCCGCCACAAGTTCAATTTTTTTTTTCTAAATAAAATATGTAGAAATACAAATCGACATCTATTGAAGTTTGCGCGCACCAGATATTCTTCTGAGAGCCTCCACTGAAATTTGAATATAACCTTGTACCATTTGCCACCGCCTGTTAGTCACCTCTCTTCCTCTAGGAAGAGATCATCTCCACTTGAATACACCACACTCCAATCTCAAGGTATCAAGCAGAGTACCGTCTTCTACAGCAAATTCCTATCTACTTATCTCCACCATTGGCTTTTTATCCTGGTTTCACACACCACTCTCTTTTCCCAGTATTGCACAGCATGTATCGCCTCTTCTCGCCCTGGCTGAATGTGTCAGGAGCCAACAAGACAGAGGTTTTTGCTGCTCTTCACTGTAAGTAAAAATCATTTTTGTAGTGACTTTATAAATATAAGAGTACGCATTCTTTAACTAGTACTTCGCGCGCCCGACGACGAACCTTAAAACTTTAACCACAGTGTCTTTTCGCGTTTCCATATACAACGAATATAACTGTACGTGCTACCATATAGTACACGACCGCCAGATCTAACCACGTGTCGCATTGTATTACTCGTAATGTTCCCGTTTTTCCATCTGTCGATGCCTTACCACACACTCCACTCGTATCACACAAAGGTCTCTAAACTATGATTAACTTGTTTTCAATGCATAATTCTCTATAACATTATTTACTCATCGGTCATACATGATCTCAGGAGACAACTAATACTACAACGCATCCTCTGCTCCCTCTCCCTTTCCCTGAAACTAACACGGAAGTGTACGTACTGTTTACGTCCGCTATTGCCTCCGAGAGTTTAATTGATTTAAAGGCACAACCCATTTCCTCTCATTCTAGATGATCCAATAACAAGCCCATCTGCATCGTCCATGCTCTGACCTCTTGGAATTCAGTTCATCTGTGTCGAGGCAGTGGACCGGTGAGAGTATCGGTTGTCTGTATTCACAAGCGCAGTGTCGGGTTAAAGGGGAGAAGGTTAAGGAAGAATTATTTTCCATTTTGAAGGAAATCTTTGCAGTAATTCAGGAATTGAGTTTTTAAAAAGAATATGGTGATGAAGTTATTTTTTATTTTATTATTTTTGAGACAGAGCTCGCCTTTGTTGCACAGCTAGAGTAGAGTGTGCCGTGGTGGTCAGCCTACGCTCCAGCAGCACCTCAGACTCACTTGGGCTCAAACGATCTCCTGCCTCAGCCTCGCGACGTAGCTGAGCTACAGCAATGCGCACCAAACGACGCCCAGCAACTAAATTTATCTATATATTAAGATTGGCCAATTAATTTTTCTATTTATAGTAGAGACGGGGTCTCGCTCTTGCTCAGGCTGGTTTCGAACTCCTGACCTCGAGCAATCCGCCTGCCTCGGCCTCCCAGAGTGCTAGGATGACAGGCGTGAGCATGGTGATGAAGTTCTAACACCGCCATTTTACTAGTTTAATATCTATTATGTGCATTTTTAATATATATATTTTATTTTCTCTCTTTGTTTTTCTTTAATGCCTTGCATCACCATTCCCAATATTATGCAGATATTTGAGACTAGAGGAGAGTTAGTATTGTTTCCACCAAACCTCGCGTTTGCTTTCTGGTTAGCTAACTCACCGCTGTTCAAAGCAGTCCCTGGCATTACTTCCTATGAGTGAGTTCAAGCACGTGTAAAGGCAGGCATTGTCTAAGCCACAGATACGCAGTTGGGTGCCGATAGGTCCGTGCCACCCCAGGGGACAGAGGGAGTGGCCTCCCGTGAGGACTACTCACAGTGTAGATACACCTGACTCTTCTCATCCGGCCGGAGTTGCGCTATGATAAGCAACTTACTTAATACACAGACACAGCGTCAGCAGGACCCTCAGGCGACACAGAACCTTTCGAAACTGCTGGCAGGACACGGCGGTGTGGATTTCTGATGGAAGGGCCGCCCTCCTCTGCTGCTTGCAGAGCAGTGGGCGTGCCCTATCCCGAGCAGACGCACCCGTTCCTCCACGGAAGCCGGCGGAGGGCTGGCACGGGGGTCCCTCTGTGCTAGGCGCCCCGCAGTTTGGGATGCTCATTACGCCCCGACGTCCAGTTCTAACCGGCTTTTCCTTGTTCGCAGAATGCAGTGATTTTTCACCTCCAATAACTGTGATCCTGTTGATCTTCCTGTGCCTTGAGGGTGTTCTGTTTTTCACTTTCACCGCAGTCATGTTCGGCACCCAGATCCACTCCATATGCAACGACGAGACGGTAGGCCGCGTGCGCGCGTTTGCCTGTTGTGTGGCCAAAGCTTGAGTGCACGGGAACCCTAACGTCAGCAACAGGTGCTTGCGTGTGAACGGGGGAGACTAGCCCGACGGCCCTGATGAGCACAGGCAGGCCCGCGTTGGCCGCTCCTTGCATGCCCACGGCAGGCATTTCAAGGGTCGGTTTGACCGCGGCGTCTGCAGGGCCAGGCAGGCCCCCGGAGCAGCTCGAGGAACTGAACGCCTTCGTGCCCTGGCACTGCGGCGCCAGAGCAGGCACCCAGTAACAACTAAATAGAAACGTTGGCGCCCGGGCTTGGAGGCCTGTGGGCTGTCTGGTGGGCTGCCCGGAGGGGGCCGCAGCCCGGCCGTCTCTGCAGCCTCGCGTGCGCACGGAGGACCCGGGCAGGTGGGGGAGCCGGGAGGGAGAGCCCACCCTACAGTCACCGGGAGCCCACGCTGCTCTGGAACGCAGTGGGCTTCTGAGGTTGGGTGGTGTCCCTTGTTTTAGCCACCTGGCGCGACCTGTGTCTGCCGAGGTTCCTAGAGCTGCCGCCACTTGCTGTTCTTTCTGCTTCCAGGAGATTGAGAGGCTGAAGAGTGAGAAGCCCACGTGGGAGCGGAGGCTTCGGTGGGAAGGGATGAAGTCTGTCTTCGGGGGGCCCCCTTCGCTCCTCTGGATGAACCCCTTTGTCGGCTTCCGATTCAGGCGCCTGCCAATGAGACCCAGGAAAGGAGGCCCGGAGTTCTCTGTGTGAGCCCCATCAGGCTGAACTTCTGGCGGACTTGAGTTGTTTACCTGGGGTCTGAACGGGTACCCAGAGCTCGCCTCTGACCAGCAGGCACGTGGAACCCGCGCGAGCCAGTTGCTGGCAGCAAGCAGAGTCTTCTGCACTCACAGTCACAGC